CACTAGCCAATGCCCCTTACAATTTAAGGTTGGTGCCCAACTTTTGAAGTGTTCTCTAGCTGTTGTCAATGGGCCTGGCGCCTAAAAATATCCTGCTGGCGCCTGGATTGGACAGACTGGCTCCTGAATTTCATAAATCCAGGTAGCCATTGTGCCTTAAAAATTACAGCTGGCGCCTAACTTTTGAGCTTTAATCTAGTTTTTGCCAGTGGAGCTGGCTCCTAAAATCCTGCTGGATTGGACAGGATGGCTCCTGAATGTCATATTACTTTGTTCCCCCCACAGATATATATGTATCTATGTTTATATACATACAGACACACACACACTATGTCCCCATAGATGAACATTGAGCACGTGGCTTTTGTTTCTTTCTTGATTTTTTTTTTTAACGTTTTCTTGGCTTTGCAGTAAAATGTTCATCGGGGGACTGAGCTGGCAGACTACGCAAGGTAAGCACAATGATTGTAGAAGGTGCCTGTTGGGGTTGATTGTACTTCACTTCCATCTTTCCCTCTCATGTTCTCCACCCTCTTCTGTCTTCCTCCCTCATTTGTGCATCCTCCATCCGTGTCTTTCTCTCTCCCTTTCCTCCTGCTCGGACATGATGCGATTGGATTTTTTTCTCTATTGCATTCTGGGATCTGTCTGCCACGCTTGGTTGTGATAGGCGGCTCTTATATTTCTAGAGGGCCTGCGAGAGTATTTCAGTCAATTCGGAGACGTGAAGGAGTGTCTTGTTATGAGAGATCCATTGACCAAAAGATCCAGGTGAGGTTTGCTGTAGCTTACATCGGCACGCTTCGATTAGCATTAGACCGGCAGTCTTATATTCTTCGTTTGCTCTTCACCAGGGGATTTGGGTTTGTCACATTCATGGACCAGGTCGGAGTAGACAAAGTTTTGGCACAATCAAGGCACGAGCTTGACTCCAAGACGGTATGATCCTCACATTTTGATTATCATGACTTCGCTGTATGGAAAGTATATTATTTGCTTTTAAAAGTACAACTTGAAATGGGTAACTTTTTTTTATTTTGATGCTTTCAAGGCAGTCAATTGTTAAACTTTGCAATGCCTATTATAAGGATTGTAATAAAATATTGAAGTTAGGGCCGTACTATCCAAAGAAAGCTGGCTGTCATGACGCTTCGTGTGAAAAATCTTAGCGACACATGCAAAATCTTTCTAACTGAGTTGACTTAAACTGCACACAGTGCGAGCAATAGAGGTGAACTACAGCGTTAGAGGCCCTGTGATGTCAACTGCTGTAGATAATGCAGACTTGCTGGTGATGTGTTTGAAAAGTAAAGTATCTTTTTTATTTAGCAGGCAAGCAATTTAGACAGCATGTGGGGGAAAGCAGGTATGATACTGTGTTGTATAGGTTTTGTCATTCCCATTAGTGATGCCACACTTTAGTTTACTAAACAGAATCTAGATAGACTGCTGTGTTGATTACTGGAAACCAGATGTTAGAAGGTCGTCAGTTTGTACAAATGCTTTTTTTTGTCACATATCCATTAATGTCTTTTAGCTTTTTAGTTATTTATTCTATCATTTTTTTCCTCCTATGATGTGTATGTTTGTGTGTTTGCCTTATGATTTTATTTTTCATGACACAAAATGATTTGTTTATTAAAAGTCACTTGTGGTAGGTCGTGATTTTTTTTTTAATGCTGTTTTATTTGGATTCTGTACATTCTAAAATCAAATATATAAGCAAACCTAGATCAGCAACAGGTACAGACAAATGATAGAACTTTTAGTTATATCGTTGAACTTTTCATCAGGATACATCATTTATGAAATACATAGTCGATTATGGTTAAACTAATTATTTTTTCAGTAATGTGTTCACTAGTACAGAGCAGGACAAATCCCAGGAGCCAGGTCGCCAATGCTCCTAAAAAATTACATCTCGTGCCTAACTTTTGAGGTTTTCTCTAGTGGTTGTCAATGGAGCTGGCTGCTAAAAAAGATCCTGCTGGCTCCTGGATCAGACAGACTGGTTTCGGAACCACATAATAATTTGTCCAACCCTGCACTAGTATATAACCATCATATGAAGGCAGATACCAACACTCTCGTATTCATAAACAACATTGCCCATTATACGTAGCTTTTGTCTTGCTGGATAACCTAAAATTGTTTTACTTTGGGTTGTCAAGGGATCTGATTCAGCTTAGGAGATGTTCAAGGTTACATAATAGCAATGCACATATTTTTTGCATAGTGTTTTATAAGATTGGATTTGTTAATCCCAGTATAGCACGTTAAGTTCATATATTGAGTGGATCAGGGCGTATAGATTAGGACGTACCCTGTCAGTGGTTTAGTTTTTATTTCCTGAGAAAGTTGAATCAAGACATACAGTATAACAAGCAAGTAAGATACGTTAACTATATATAAAATACAAATATTTCCCAGTTATTTGTACATGCTTTGTGTGCAAAACCTATTTAAATGAGCTCCTAGAGCAAGGCTTTTATGCACCAGTGCTGGTACTAGTACTATTATATGAAGACATTTCTATTAGGGATGTCCAGATACCAGTGCCGATACTTGGCATTTTCACAAGAACTGCCAGGGTTGCAGCGGTTGTAGCTGTGACCTGTCTCTGGCTCTCCACCACTGTCCTGAAATCATTAGTCTGTATTGTTTTAGAAAAACTGTCACATGACACTAACCAAAAATGTATCAGTACTTGTATCTGTGAGGACTTGGACAAGTATCAGTACTTGTACTTGGAAAAATGGTATCGGTGCACCACTTATATATATTTATAAAAAGAAAATAATGTATTAAAATGGGGATGTACAAATCCCAGGACCTCCATAAACTCCTTAAAAATGACAGCTGCCTCCTAACTTTTGAATTTTTCTCTAGTCTAGTCCTGGAGCTTTAAAAGTATCTGTACATGTACTTTTACCGAGTACGGTACTTGGTATTTGAACATCCCTAATTTCTATTATAACTATGTATGTTTACATTGAATCCTATGCTTACTGATAAAAGAGCAAAAGAAAGAGGAGGTGTTTCCTGTAGCACCCAGTCATACTTCAGCTGTCATTTTTCTAGCTTCTGATTGGTTGCTTGGGGTAACAGCTTTGCTTTTGTCTCTGTAAGGAGTAAATGGGGGGATCAGGAAGAACAATTCAAGTAAATGACTTGTGGTATTTTATATCAGAAGCCAAGAGTAAAGCATGATATGAAAAATAAAGACAACATCTGTGTCTGTATTGCACAATATAAGTAAATGTCAGCGATGCAAATAACTAAATGAAACATTTATCCCATATCATTGAGTTTATTTCAAAACTCAAGAAAGAGGCCTTCACGGCACAGTTTGTGCAAAATGTGTTAGGATTAGCTTTCGTTAGGTTGTCATCAGGCTTCGTCCTTTCCTCTTGAGGCTTTACAGTGTCCTTTTTATGTGAATTAATGTTTTGTACATGCGTGTGTTATACCTGCATGTATGCTATAGCTTCCTCTACACATCATGTACAGGTGATGTGACCTCTTGCTGCAAGTGCCCCCTTTCTCAATGATGTAAAGACTTTACAGATCACATGACCTTTTTACCTTGAGCTTAATGATGGCGTTTTCTTTGGATATTGTTAGTGCCCCCCTTCTCAATGATGTAAAGACTTTACAGATCGCATGACCTTCTACCTTGAGCTTAATGATAGCATTTTTTTGGATATTGTTATTTAAAGAACCTACAGCAACAAAGTCTAAATTTGTAAAGTGTAAAAGGAATAGTATAGTATACATTTTTTTTGTCATTGCATTAATATATTGTCATTTTCTTTGCTAAGTGATCCGCACTGATTGGAGTTTAAAACGCAATTTGGTGAAGTGGTTGCATTGAGCGTGTCCCAGTCGGTGGGTTCTTGTTTATCAGTGTGAGCTTGCTGGGCTCTGGGGACTGTGTCTCTGCAGACACAGGGGGAGGGGAGCAGCGCTGCACATGCTGCTGTCCCCTGCTCCTCGGATGGGAAGTTTCTTTTGTTGCCTGGGAGGGGACAAGTGTGCGTTTCATACAAAGAGCAGTTGAAAGCAGAAGGGATCCACTGTAGAGTCTTCATTATAATTTAACTGTGGATGGAGGGATAGAAGGTTATGTTAATAGATCTCTTGGAGTTGGAGGGATCTTTGTTTGAAATGAACACAAGTTGCTCTCAGCGATTGTTTAATATACTGTACCCTTCTTTGTCAATTAATTGTTTGGATCGCAAATAGCTAGTTTGCTGCTAGGTTAAAGTGTAAATGAAGTTGTACAGGGTTCCTTAGTTCAAAGACTGCACATGCCGTTCTTAAATTCTTTTCAGTCAGTTCTATCAAAGTATCGTTTTTTGGTGATAAAGCAAATCTCAGGAGCCAGGTAGCCAAGGCTTCTTAAAGTGACACCAAACCCAGGAGTTAAATCTTAAAAATACATTCAAGTACCTTAACTAATAACAAAAATGTATCTTATTTGTGTATCACTCGGCAGTAGATCCTCAAATCATCTCTGAATTGGTGGTGACACTGTCCTTCCTTCTGGAGGGGGGCTACTGTTGTTTCCCATGGTCCCTGTGTGTGTTGTAAAGTAGCCACTTCTCCAAGTACGCTCCCGTGATGGACTACAAGCACAATACAAATTAGTAAACTAAACATGAGACTGTAGTCCATCACAGGAGTGAGCTTGAAGCGGTGGCTACTTTACAACACACACTGGGTCCATGGGGAACAAAAGGAGCCACCCTCCAGAAGGAAGGACAGTGTCAGCACCAATTCAGAGATGATTTGAGGATCTACAGCTGAGTGATACACAAATAAGATACATTTTTGGTAATAGATAAGGTACTTGAATGCATTCTTAAAATTTAAGTCCTGAGTTTAGTGTCACTTTAATAATTACAGCAGACGCCTAACTTTTGAGATTTTCTCTAGTTGTTGGCACCTAAAAAAAATCCTGCTGACTCCTGGAAAGGACAGACCGGCTCCTGAATTCTATATTTTTTTGTCCACCCCTGTGATAACAGTATATTAGTTTTAAAAAGTATGAAAATGACATTATCGTGTGTAAGTACTGGTACCAAATAGAACAGGTATTACAAATATTTTACTCAGCACCAACAATTTATGCAGCACTTTACATACTGAACACTTGCATCATTGCCTGCCCTTAAGGAGCTTACAATCTAAGGTCCCTACAGTACATGGGCCAATTTCCTACCAGCGTGTCTTTGGAGTGTGGGAGAACACCTACTCAAGCAGAGGGAGAGCATACAAACTCCATGCAAATTGTGTCCTAGTTGGGATTCAAAGCAAAGACTCAGAGGCTGCAAAGCAGCTGTGCTGCCCCAGACATCTAGGCCAAGTAGAATATCGCATAGTAGGAAACTTGTGTAAGCAAGGACCTTTCCGTCTCTATAGTTTGTGCTAGTTACTGTCACCTGTAGGATCTGTCAAATAAATACTGACTTTCAGAAGTGTAGTAACATGGGTTATCGAAAGCTGATTTCTGTGATTTTACATCATGCTATGGCTAGGCTGGACAAATCCCAGGATCCAGGTAGCCAATTCTTTTTAAAAAATACAGCTGACACCCAACTTTTGAGGTTTTCTCTAGTTGTACCAATGGAGCTGCCTCCTAAAAAATCCTGCTGGGTCCTGAATTGGATAGGCTGGCTTATGAATCCTATATTAATTTGTCCACCCCTGTGCTATAGTATAAAGGCCTTAAGTGCTAGATAATTCTTGATGTGCAAGCTTGTAGCCGGCTATTGGCAAGTTCCCGCCATTGTGTGAACAGCACTTCTGTGTAATTGTATCCATTTGGGAATAAAGATTACAAAAAAATAAAGCTTTTTTCCCTCCAGAATACATTCTAGTACTGTCTGTCTCTGTCTGTCCTTTTCCTCGGCTACTGAATGCTACAGGTGTCTATGCCATTTACCTGTAACAATAGTGACTTCTGTTTAGTGATGTGAAATTGGTGCATTCCCTCCTGCTCAGAGCTGCAGTTTTCTCAGTTAATAGCATCTTCCTGGCCTTTGCTGAAATAGCACAAAGGAATGTCATGACAAAGGGGTATTGTTGGGATATTCTATCTCCTGTTTTGATTTCTCTCCCTTGATGCCCAGGAGCACAAACATTCCCTGGTTTATGTCTGCTTTGTAAGGGCCGCATACTCTCTGCCAAATCTGACCCTTGTATGCTTCTGTCATACCAGCAGGCCTCATGTCCCGTAGACAAAAATCTTATCATCCAAGAACTAGTCAGGGGTTACAATTCCCTCGCCTCAACTTCTTAGGGCATGGTTTTTTGTTTGAGTGAGTAATAACTGCCGGAAATACAGGGATTTCTTTATTTTTTTGGACATTGAGACAAATACATTTAGACAGTAAATAAAGTTTAGACAAAAATACTCGTATTACATAAAAAAAAAATTATTACAGGTATTTATATTACAGGTATTTATATAGCGCCGACAATTTACACAGTGCTTTACATAGAGCACATTCAAATCATTCCCTGCCCTTAAGGAGCTTGCAATCTAAGGTCCCTATCTCATATACATACATACATACAGGGACAATATTTAGAGAGAAGCCAATTAACCTACCGGCATGTCTTTGGAAATTTATTAGAACATTTTGGCCAAGACTCGGTGGCAGCTCAGAATTGGCTAGGAAGTCCTCCCTCTGTCAATCTTATTTTTAATGTTTCTTTATTTTTGCGTAAAGTTGTATGAGTTATTCTGCACAGTTTTGGTGCAATATATAGGTAGAATGCAGATACCTGGACACCTAAACAGTGCATATGACGTTGCGTCTCTCGCTGGGTTTCCTCATACCTGTATGTGTGTTCTTGAGAAATAAATTGTGAAATGAGCTGTACTCCTCTGGTGAATGTTTACAGTTGTCATGGTAACTTTTCAGATCATTACTGTGCAGCTACATTGACATAGGATCCGTTCTTAGATCTGTTTCCTAAGAGAAGGGCCTCATCAAAGCTAGAAAAAGAAAATGCTTATGCTGCTCCATTAGTAATCTTTACGGTTCCTAAATTTCCATCGCTCACTTCTGTGTTCAGTCACTTTGGGTACAATGCTGTTTAAACATAAGCAAATTGTTATGTATAATGTTATCATTAACACTTCAGCTCAATTAAATTGAAGTGCGCAAACTTCAAAGTATCAAGTTTTTTTTGTTCTTCTTTTCTTAAGCGACATTGTAATAAATGAGTGTATTTTACCATAAACTTTCAACTCAGAATATGTTCTAGTCCAGTGTATTGTGGGCGATTGTGGGCTTTTTAAAATATTTTTTTTAAACTTTTAAAATTATGTTTATATTTATATACTTGCATTAGTCAGTTTGCTGCGTTATTAAATTTTTATTCGTTTATCTTTTGCAGCAATCACATGTTTAGAACTTCATTATATAATTCTTATTTTGCAGTGTGAGTCACATGAGGCGGGAAATATAAAAGCTAGGGGAATTGAAAGTGACTATGTTGCCCATAACAACCATTCAGATATGTCCCTTTGCTTTCATATCTGCGCTCGAAAAATGACCACTTGGATCTTCGATTGTCATGGCCAAAACTTTTTTTTAACACTTTGCACTAATTTTCCATTTTTTTTCAAATCTTAGGGTTGTTTTTATTATTTACATTATTTTGTGCATGCTGTTCATTTAGGGTTTTTATTCCTTTTTTTTTTCAATTGTGTGTTAATCATAATTTGGATACAAGTCAAAATCTGTGATTTCTGGGGTCTTAATAGATATCGTAGACTGTCAAGGTGCTGTTTTGTGTTGCACTTGAAGTTTCAGGGCCAAAGTCTGAGACTTCAATCATAGGTTTTTCTCCAGTTTGTATTTTTGATTTTTGCAGCATATGACAATTTTTGCATTATCGCACTTGCAGGCCTATTTCGTATTCTTTGTACAGTATTACCGGGTGTGCATATCTTTGCGTTACTCACTAGAGTTTATGACTTTGTCTCTAATTAAACAGTTTCTTAGTTTGTAGTTGTTTGTGTGTGTAGAACTCCTTCTTCATTTTATTACTCGCCTAGCTACAAAGTTGAAATATTTGCAATATTTTTTTTTTTTCAGATTGATCCTAAAGTAGCATTTCCGCGCAGAGCTCAACCAAAGGTGAGTTTCTTTTGAGGTGTCCTTTAAGACTGGAATTCAGTCTTGCACAGGAACTGGTATATTGCAGTTGAAGAACTACAAGCCCCACCATGCTTTGTCATTCAACCTGCTTGCGCTTTCCGTACAGCTACAGGTTCCCCAGGTCTAGTTTAAGTGGTGACTGTAAAGCGAGCAAACATGTTTCCCCCAAAATATTTCTGCGCACACATTCTATTAGAGGTAGTCATGCCAAGCGGTTAAAGCAGCAGGGAGAGGGGATGGGAGGGAGATGTAACTATTGGAAAGCAATCGGCTTAAGGCCAGTAACTAGCAGGTGGATCAGAATTGGGTCCTGCAAACACTGGCAGAATTGGGTTAATTCCCTTAAGTAGTTTGTTGACAGACGGTATCTTGGTGTCAGAGCCAGGAAGCTTAGCGCCAGGCTAATTAGGGGCAGCTGGGAGACCCTCAAACCAAGCAGGGCTCATTTTATTTATTGCTGTGATTGTTTTTGTCAGATGCTTTTATGTGAACTAAAAAAGAGAAAATCTCTTACAGTACTGCTAGCATCAGCATAATACCTTTCAACGTACCATGCAACCTCCTGGTGAAGCAACAAGAAAAAAAAAATTATCCCTTATGTCATGTGCAGGAACAGCACCTGTGTTCTTGTCTGCTTCCAGTCTCCTGGTCAGTCTGTGCTTTAGTCATGTCACCTGATTACTTATTACAGATGGTGACAAGGACAAAGAAGATTTTTGTGGGCGGCCTGTCTGTGAATACAACTGTCGAGGATGTAAAACAATATTTCGAGCAGTTTGGAAAGGTGAGTGTGTGGTTTTTCAGGTGTGGCCGTTCGCGGTAATAAGAGTTTACTGACTTTAGATGTAAGGGCAAGCTTTTATTTGCTCCGTGGTCTACATGACAGCTGGTAAAGCAATTCTTACCCATGTCAGTGGTCAACATGTGGGGAGGATTCAAAAGTAGAATGGAGTTGGGGGGTGGCTTCAAAACAAGAATAATAGATGTTTTATCTTTTTAGTATTATTATTGTTATATAATATTATTAGATAAGCCACACATTTTAAAACACTGGTAATCAGATTACTACAAAGACCCCACTCCCATCCGTAACACCTGAGGATGACCCCGCCACGTCATAAAGCCATGACAGACCCTGACGAACAAGCCTTGCTATAAGGTGATTAGATCCCATTTAATTAGGAGGTTGGAGAGATCTCTGGATGCCTCGGATTTCTCTCCCATCGGCAGCAGATTATCTAGCACAGTATACTGAGTGGGGGGAGGATTTATGCGCCGTGCATAGATGACCTAAGCGCACTGTGTTGCAGAAAGCCTCTGTGGACAGCAGGTCACCTGCACCGAAAATAAAGCACAAATGAAATGTTTCACTTGTTTAGCGATGATTTCATCCTTTCACTTTTCTTTTTTATTTGTTTGACAAATTTTCCTTTGTTTCTCTCTTTTCCTAGCACTCCGTCCTTCACTTGTGTTTCACACTCTCTCCCCCTGATATCTGGTGGGGCCCTCTCCCCTCCCCCCATCTTTTCAGTTGCACACAAAAGCTTTTGCCTATTTCCCTCTCCCCTGCGGCTCAGGACATACTAAGCTGCAGTCATAGTAACAGGACAGGGCTCCCAGAGCCGCTCAATCTCCAGAGAACCAAACGGTTTTGTTTGAAAGGCAAGAAACTGTTTGACCTGATGAGTAAATAAATATCTCATAGATCTTACAGCCTGAAACTAGCGGGACACACAGAGAGTTCTATGCTGGCCACAATTCCCTGCACTCCTGCTCTCTCCCCCGTGAGCTCTGGGTACCTCATGCATTTCAATGCCTTTTTCCCCCCTTCAATCTAGAGTCACTATGTGGCCCCCTATTTCTTTTTCTTTGCAATGCAGGCCTTCTTTTTCCCTATTCTTTAGACCGGCCTTCCTGTTTTCCTGCATCCTTTTCTCCTACGTGCTCCACATGTGTTGTTTTCAGTCTAACACACTATTTTAGTTAGAAGTACTTCTGCGCTGTACTAGTATCCCGTATCTTCACCAGCAGCGCATTCAGGAGGTTAGGTGCTTTGTTTAAAAAATGCCCTACGTTTCTTTTCAAGTGCCCACTGACCGCTTTCTCCCTGTGTTTTTTTATACAGGTTGACGATGCCATGCTAATGTTTGATAAAACAACAAACAGGCACAGAGGTAGGTATCGTGTGTGTGCTGCAATCAGTGCTTTCAGTTATTTTGCAGAAATGTGGCTCCACAGATCTGCTTTGTGTGATTTGATAATCCTCTTTGCGGAGGGTTTTGTGTGTGTAAAAATGCAAGTTTCTGGTGATGAGTGTTCAGCATGTGGTCAGTGCAGAGTCGAGCTGCACATCTGGACACAGCTCCATTGTTCTCTCTCTTCCTGACACAGAATACCTGTCCATCCTCCCTCTGCTCCCTGCAGCTGTTCTTCATAAGTGACTCACTTGTGTGACTTTCACAGCACACAATTATATATGGCGTATAGACACGCCAACCTGACCCATTTTAACTCGGTGTTATTTATCTACCTAGGAACACAGCACTGAAATATGCGTTGATTGAATCTCTTCTTCTGTAAAATTTTATATAAAAGCCTTTTAATATACAATAAGGATGTCTATGCAAAGTTCTGGAGCAGAGAGAGCATTGCCTGAAATGGGTCAGGTTGACATATGTAGAAATACGTAGCAACATTTTTAGACATTTTTAAATGAAGGAAATAAATAAAGGAACATTTTAATATTAATTTTTTAAACACTTTTAAGGCTGTTTTAGATCTTTATTGATTACATATATATAATCATTATTTTACAAATAAATGCTTGATACAGGGTGCACCCTTGAGAAAGGATTCACAGATCACTCGACAGAGAGACAGAATACAGCAGGATCTGTTTACTTTTAGACTTTCTCTCTGATTGAAACTTCATAAGAGTCAGTCTCAGCAGGAAAACAATAAGTCACTACTCTGATCCATTAAGTTGTGTGTCAATTTCAGTTTGAGCTATGTGCACTGTAAACAACAGACTTTTTCAGCAAAGCAGATAAGATTAATTGTGTGAAAAAGAGTCAAGAGCTCCACCTGCTGGATGTAATTGAGAGTATAAAACATTTACATTTACCTGACAAAAATGAAAAAGATTTTTTTTAAATGTGTTTTTAGTGCAGAACTTAATGAGTAACAAAAAAAATATATTAACCCCTTCGTGACTGACGACGTACAGTGTACGTCGCCAGCATCGGGGCTGTTTAAACAGACTCCCGGCGACTTTTGCCGTCGGGACTCTGTTTAAATATGTAACCCTTTATAAGGGCCTTCTTGGATAATGACAAATTGTACTTCTGACGCCAACCCTCCTTTCAGTAAAATAGAGTTTCTGGCTTCAGAAATAACACTGAAATCCTTGAACTACTGTTGTTCAGTTTCATTTGGCGGGCTTAAACCTGGCACAGGGGTATAATATTATCATAGCCTGGCCTCGTTTTTAACTGCAGGAGGCAAAGTGGGCAAACTCTAAACGTATAGCCCCTAAATTTTAATTCACAAGGCAGGTGTGGGATGGGGCTCCTTCTTACATGAACAAGCCCTTTAGGGCCTGTTCACATTATTGTATTGCATTAAATGCATGGGATCCACTAGGTGCGCTGCTGCATTGCATTGCCCTTCGCCCCAGTGCATCTCCCAGCGGTCAATACCAGGCAATGTACGGTATTGAAGTAATGTTCTATAGATAAAAGCCAACATACATGCATAAGTAATATAACTTTGTTTTGGTAGAGATAGGCAGATAAAATAAACAGAACTGAGAAACAACAAAAATCTACAAACTTGTAGGAAAAAATGCCAAAACATTCCCTACCAGTTCATAGAATTTAATACAAATACACTATAATATCTTTAATGTATCTTCTGTTTGCATGTAAGCTTGTACAGGTCTCCTTACACTATACTCCTGTTCATTTTTGTTCACTTCTACCGTAATCTTATTATCAGTTGTTGGGTGTGTTAATTCTCCCACAGTACAGTCATATGGTGGTATGGCCTAGTGGCAAGTGGTGTGTGTACATTTAAAATACTCTTTCCGCTATTTTATAGACACGATTGAGTCCTATAATATTGTCAGGTAATAAAAACTCAATGGTTCATTTCGTTTGCAGCTCATACATTGACAGAGTTATTAATATGATCCTGAAACAAAAGATCAGGGCTGTAGCTACCATGGGGCCTCAGGCACAGCTGAGAGAGGGTCTGACAGGGTGCCGTTGGCAACAAAGGCGTTAGGCAGCCGACACAGTTGTGGCTCGGCAGGGAGAAGAGGAGCGGCACAGCCTCCAACTTCTCCTCAGATCCCTGCTGCTCTCCCCCACCTGTATGGCCAGAGGTCTCTGTGTCCTCAATCTCTTTTCCTATTTCAAAAGGGAAATGTCAGAGGTCTGTTTAGACCCCTAATATTTCTCAAAGCCCCCCCAGGTCTTACATACCGCACAGGTCTGTTGGGGGGCACAATTTTCTTTTCTTGCCTTAGGCATAAAAGGAGCTAGTTACGGCTCTGCAAAAGATCTTCCTGTAATCAACAGAATCACCAAACCAGTTACATGCTTGCACCCCAATTTCTCAAATGTTTTATGATGGTAAAAGGAGTTAAGGCCGTGCCCATCCTACACCTCTAATCTGCTGCAGGACTGTAACTTGAATTTATTGAATTATTGCAGCCTATATTATGGACATCCTGACTCAGCTTCTAGTTGGTTGACTGATTAGTTGGCCCCGTTTGTGAACTGGAGCACAGTTACATTGCACGTAATTGCATCTGGCCAATGACAACTTCTCACTAATTTCATGAAAGTGGGCTTTAGTATGTTGCAGTCTAGTTGTGAAAGGGGTTTCTTAGTAATGTCCATATATATGCACTCTTTTCATTATAGAGGATATTTAATTTTGTGCTAAGAAAGACAAGAGATTTGAGAATAGCTCACAGGTAGACATTCAGCATAATCAATCAAAGCGTTACAGGCAATGAATGAGGTGACATCACAAAGCCAAAGGCTAATTTTGGTATTATCCACCTACTGAAGGATGACTATTTGGTACCTTAGGGCCTTTATCAAGTCACATTGGGAGATAGTTCTGAGGCTGTGCATTGTTACTAGCCTAGGTGGTTGTCATGGCAGGTCACAGAGCGTAGCCCTATGGGAAGAAATCATGTTGTCTATTGTCATTGAACATGGTAAGCACTGCGAGAACCTTTAGTGGTAGTCTTGCTGTATGAGTTGATAGTTTTTTTTGCCGAATTAAAATATAAGTTTAGAACGGCTAAATCATATCTCATGGCAGAACTGTAGAAGAAGGTGTATATTATGAGGTCATAGTACATTGCCTACATGTGTTTGCCCTCTGTTTTGGCAAATACTCCCCGGGCAATACAAAATAAATACACATGTATGTATATTTATTTAAAAATATAATTTATCCACAAAGGGGTATTCAATACCAGTTTTCAGCCAGTAGTATTTGAGTAGATTATTCTCTAAAAATGCCATATGTAAATGTGGTTGAGCAATAAGGATAAACCACTTTGGTTAGATGACCATGGCTCACACATTGAGACTATTCTCTCTGTCTGTCTAGATCGTTTAGTATAATTTTCCTTTATTTCTTGCATTTTGGAACTTTCACAATATCTTCTGAAGGTGACAAATATTTCCAAATTGGTGTCCACAATTATGTTATAGGCACAATGAAGAAAAACTGAAACTAACCCTTGACATACATACAAGGGACACTGTCCATCTGCTCAGTACTTACTTTTCTTTCTCGTCCATTGAGGACAAGGAAAGAAACAGTCAGGTTATACTGCCGTCTACAGGATGTTTAGGACACGGGCAAACAGAAAAATTGTAAGTCAGTCCAGCTTGCCTCAATTGTTTCTAGTGTTTTAAGAGGTTGGATGCCTTTTTTACATTTTCCTGTCACCTCTGATTTTAGTTTGGCAAAGATTATTGCTGAGGGACTGAGTGCTGATAAAATCCGCTCAGTGGAACAGCATGCACACATGCACGCTACACTCTCTTTCCAGCTATTCAGCCTGGAGCAAGTACCGTTGCACTGCTGCTCTTGAAGCACCACATGAATTCTGGACTCTGAGCTATTTCCACTGCCTGTCTACAGTGACTTTGTCTCCTCTGGCCATTTAAAACCCTGCCCAAGTTTGTGAGTACTTATGTGAGGCCTAATTGGATTACCGCTGTGTGTAAGTACCACCAAAGGACAGTCCCTCACCCATCAGTTGGACTGCTTATGGATTTCTGTGTCACTCAATGGACAAGAAAGAAAATATGATTTTTGTACTTACTGTAAAATTTGGGAGTACATTGAGGAACACAGGTCCTACCCCTCTGTATTTTGCAGTTTTACCCTGGTACTGCTCTTTGCTTCACAAACCTATGGCATTTTGGGTAGAGCAGGGGTTATATGATTTCTTGATTACAATTCTTCTGCTTGTCTGTGTCCTAAACCTTTTGTAGGTGGCAGTATAATGCAATTGTTTCTAAATTCCTGTGTCTCTGAATGGACTCTCACAAAAAGATTTAATTGTAAGTTTAACATTTTTATTTTTCATACAAACGTTGCTATAGTCCACCAATACATTTCAGTTGTCTTTTATGGTGACCTGGTAAAACAAGCCTGCTTCTGATGATGTTACATATACTGCAGGTTCCTTGCTGCTTCTCACTTACAAAAAGTTAAAAACAAATCAGTTCTAATAAGTTCAACACAGGTCCAAGTAGATTCAAACCAGCCTTGCATGTTTGAATGTGTTAGGTGATACAGGAAGCAGAGGGAGAGAGAGAGTTACACAGCACAGGTTTCAGAAAGTACGCTCCTGTTGTCCTACTGATCCTGATAAATGGCCCGTGAAATCTGGCCATACTGTGTTAAACAGAATTCATATTGGGGCATATTACATTGAGGTTTTTTTTTTTAGCTGAGTTGCAATGTTTAATTAAAAGCTTTAGTAGTTCATGGATTGAAGTCTCTTGTTGTCTGGAATGACTTTTAAATGTAAAAGAGTTGATTGTAAGACCCTAATCAAAGCCCTTAGAGTAAGCTTCTGTATTAGCTCTTTATCTAACCTAAGCCAGTCAGTATGTTCTGACAAGGATGACGATTTATGTTTGTTTTTAATTTAATATGGCTGAGTGCCACTTTTCATTTTTATTATTGCAGGGTTTGGCTTTGTTACCTTCGAAGGAGAAGATATTGTGGAGAAGGTCTGTGAGATCCACTTCCATGAGATCAACAATAAAATGGTAAGTTAAAAAAAAAACTGTATGAACACTTAGAACACTGGACCTTGTGGATTGGGGTGGAGAGTGCAGCCAAACACCTTTGGAATAGGCTTTTTGGGAGGGTAGAAATAGTAACTGGTTTAGGTTTTATAAGTATTACAATCAACTGCCCTCCAAAAAAGAATTTGCTTAGCCAGGAGTGGTTGCTAGCACCAAAAGGCATTTGTTTTCATACAATCTGATATTGCTTAGATCAAGAGCTGGTCAGATCATATCTATGGCTGGTTTTATGCTGGCTGCTCACGTGTGAGCCCACTTGTATGGAAAGTTGGACAATGTAGCTTAGAGACATGTCAAAAAAAAGGATATTACTGTGCAAGTATGCATGCTCAAAACTGCTCTGGCTTTTGGTGGAGTGGGAAAGGCTCAGATCTTCTGCCAGTTTTTATTGCTAATTGTGTCCAACTGGGTTCATTCGTCCTTGAACAAATTGTCACAGAAAGTAATGGGAAATCCTAAATGTTAGAGTTGTCATGAAAGCAAGAGGTGCGGGTAAATCTTCCAATGGGGAAAAATGTTCAGCTGGCAACTGTCTGGGGAGATTTCCTCTCATTTTCAGTGTCTCCAGGGCAGACAATGATGGAAAATCTCCCTAGCAGGACACAGACAGCAAAAATCATCTGATAAAGATTTTAACCCTTTTCAACTCTATCCAAAGTTAAAAAAAAAATGGTTTTGCATACACTTTAAAGAAACCCTGTCACAAGACCGCTCATTTCAACAACAATCTTCCCATAAGATTAAATATATGTGCATTTAATGTATTTTATGCATGTTATTTACCTGTAAAAGCCTGCCTAGTGTAGGCATCCAAACTGCCCTGAGACTGATGCTGGGGGCCGCCATCTTGAATGTGATGTCAGCAGCCCCAGGAGACTGTGCTGTATTTTTTCCCTTTGAGGCATGTCAAATATTTATTTATTTTCTTAATGAAAATACATGGATTGCTGCTTCTTAGCTCAATGTTCCTTAGACTCGTGGGGGTTGCTGTTCTAAATTTGATTATCTGAGGTCCTGTCTTTCATAAGCTTTGTGACCACACTACGCATGAATGCTGCTGAAACTCCCACTGTAGTATTTCTGCTAATTGACCTTTATGATGGTGAAATTATTTCTGAGAAGTTAACATAACGCATTTTGTGGTGGGTGCCGATTTTAAAGGGTAAATCCACAAAGATCTAAGAGGTGGAATGGTGTGCTGTTTAACTATTACTTGCTTTTCACCAACCGTACAGTTTACATTTATGGTTGGCACACTTCCAAAACCCATAAACTTTATTGGCAATTTCTGTCACTCCGCTAGAGGATACTGCAGTATACCAAGTCCCAGAAGTGTCCTAACCGATATTATATTTTGGCTGACTGGCACATACAGTATGTTTGTTTATTTACACATTACAATCACCCCACTCCAACAATAAGCCTTTAGTGTTGCTAACCTTTAAATGTTTATGAGACTGATGTGTTGTTAATATATGGTACGATTTCTTTCTGTAGGTTGAATGTAAGAAGGCACAACCCAAGGAGGTGATGTCTCCAACAGGCTCTGTACGGGGACGCTCCAGAGTGATGCCATATGGAATGGACGCTTTCATGCTCGGCATCGGCATGCTAGGTGATTATTAAAGGAGGTTGGAGTAGTAGTCTTTATGGTGTAAACCACAAGCCAAGTTTCTACCTTCCGGGCACAGCTGAATATTACACCATGCTAGGTGATTATTAAAGGAGGTTGGAGTAGTAGTCTTTATGGTGTAAACCACAAGCCAAGTTTCTACCTTCCGGGCACAGCTGAATATTACACCAAAAAGATTTTTTGAAGGGGTTCAATAATACTTTAATGTTTCTGTTTTTTAGATATGGAAATGTAAATATATTTGCACATGAGGGAAGTCATCATACTGTATATTTTCATGACATACTGTATGTAGGCTCTGCTTCTTTCTTAGTTATACATAAACCTAACAGTCATGGCAGAATGAATGAAGACAATAGGTTCTCTATGTGGCTAACTGCTCCTATCTCAGTAATATAAATCCTTTGGTAGGTAAACATCTCCCATATATCTATTTCATATGTGTATTTACCTGTTTGCCTGGGGTTCAGGTTCAGGTCTAGGCCTCTAGATTGGGAAACATTGATGCCCAGGCTAACCTAATATTCTAGGAAATAACTGTCTCGAGAAAAAGTATCTGAAGGGTTGGACGATTTACATTACTGAAGTGAAAATGTACTTCCAGATTTCTCTTTGTAATGACTATTTCCTTTGCTGTATTTTCTCAGGATATCCTGGTTTCCAAGCAGCCACATATGCCAGTCGCAGCTACACAGGGTTAGCTCCTGGGTATACTTACCAGTTTCCAGGTAATTGAGTCATACACTATTATATGGCGGTGTCTAGATATGTATAATGTGCATGCTCTTTCTTCCCTTGGTGGGAATGCGACTTGGGGTTGTTGTGAACATAGTGGCAGATTAGCCTAAAAACTTCTCTGCTCTTCTCAATCTCTGTCCATTCGTGGAATGGGTGTGTAAGCAATACTATATATTTATTTGGATTTTAGTGGCAGTGGGTGATTATAAACAGCTATTCCATACTCACTGCCAGTCACATCTGTAGGCTGGACATCTAGCCACTCCTAAGCTGTTTCACATTTCGTTTTAGAATTTCGTGTAGAGAGAACCCCACTCCCGGGCACCCCCGTTCTCCCAGAACTCACAGGTCAGTCCCATTAATTTACTAAACCTCACAGCTGAGGAGAACAAGATGAGCAGAGTAGGAGCTGGTGGCAACCATGCTCTGAGGGTAATGTGGAGGGACTACATCTGCCACATCAGTGCCGGCCTCGGAGAAAGGATTGTCTTCTGATGGAAATTCTGTACTTGTGTGTTGGAACTTTAAAGTGCCACAGGGCAAACATTTTTTATTGCTGGGGTGTTTTTTGGTTTACGGGATGAAAATACAGGTGAAACTCGAAAAATTAGAATATCTTGCAAAAGTTCATTTATTTCACTAATGCAACTTAAAAGGTGAAACTAATATATGAGATAGACTCATTACATGCAAAGCAAGATAGTTCAAGCCGTGATTTGTCATAATTGTGATGATTATGGCTTACAGCTCATGAAAACCCAGATCCACAATCTCAGAAATGTTTTGGCAGTGTGGGCAGGTGCCAAGTCCTGCTGGAGAATGAAGTCAGCATCCCCATAGAGCTCGTCTGCGGAAGAAAGCATGAAGTGCTCCAAAATCTCCTGGTAGACGGCTAAGTTGCATTAGTGAAATAAATTAACTTTTGCACGATATTCTAATTTTTCGAGTTTCACCTGTATGTCAACTTTTACATGAACATTATTTCCTCATCTCTGCTGCGGGAATTTTGGTGACATTTTGTGGTTCAGTAAAACATCTCTAATACAACATATTTTTATACTGTTAAGTCTGATGCTACCCACTAGGTTTAAGGTAAACCATACCTGTAATGTGACATTTCCATGCCCCTCTTATGCTGTGCTTCATTCACTTTCTGGTTCCATAATCTTTTAGTCCTCTTTGGTTAGATCATTATCTGAAAACCCCATATAGTCCAACTCCATAAGTGGACAGCTGGATTTTAGAACAACTTATATATAAACCAGCCTGACCTTACACCTGTTTTATCAAACCCCCCCAAAATAACCTTCTCTTATTTGCTCCACTTTGGTCGGTGAAATATACAGTTGAAACTGTTTTGTACTGTTCGATTAAAAAAAAAAAAAAACACCTGTTGATCCTGCCAGAAATCTAATCCTGTCCTGTCCTTTTTCAGTTTTATCTCTAGCATTCTCAACTTCCTGTTTAGAGTACCTCTTTGTACTACAGAACACCCCCTTCCCTATGTTATGGAGATACGGAGAAGGGGAGATGTGCTGTAGTCCTAACTCACTTCCTGTTCTAGGGTGACACTGCTGTTCCTCCACAGATACAGTATGGTGAGTAAACATTGTCACTCTAGGACATAAATTGTGTTACTGGCAGGATCACCAGGTGAAAATAAAGGATAAGCTTGAAAAAACGAATACAGCCACCGCTTTGAAGCTTGGTAAGCTGCAATACATTATATTTTTGTTTGTGGGTTTAGATGCACTTTAAGGCTACCCAAAACTAAAAAATGAAAAACAAAATTAGATTTGTGTAGAAGTTATCATTTTAATTCTCTAGCTAGGGGCTTGTCTATCTCTAGAAACAAATTATAGGTCACACCATTCAGCCTAAAAACCAGTATCAGTCTATCTAGCCATAATAAGAGTGATGTTGGTCCAGCCCCAACTTGTCTTTCTACTGGAATGTATTTAGCACCTTTGTGCATTGCTATTCTTCCTGATTTTGGGTGGACGTAGCCTTTAAGTCCTTGTACAGATGGCTGGGTTGATGGTCATCTTTGGATAAAAGGAAATGAAAAATCCAGTAAAGGTCATGATGTGATATGCTCAGTTGCACCAAGAGATTTTGAACACATTATAAATTCATTATTTCACATTCATCCATATATTCTGTGTATGCAGAGCCTTCCAGTGATATGTGAAGACTCTGGAAACATGGGAGCAATATGTGTGTTCAGCCTGAAAAAAAGTCATATTTTCATTATTAAGGAAGGAGGCTTGGATACATTTCTTACAGTGACCTTGTGAGAGATAACAGCTACACACAACTGAGTGCCTCCTAGCTGACTCTCACTACAATGTAATTGCATACTTTCTTTAAAGTTGGACCTTTTTTTTTTACACTTTAAAGGTAAATATTCAGTTTTTGTGATTAATATCAGATTTCACGCTACATACAAGTCTCTTGAAATTTTATGTGGTGCAACTCATTTTCTGTGTTCCAAAGCATGCTGGATCATGAGCATAATTGTGGCAGAGCAAGAAGCCCTATTGCAATAGCCAGTACAGAGACTGCATGGGAAAATCCAATGCATGGTAAAATCCAGCACATACACGTAAATAAATCATAGAGCCGGGCTAGGCAAACTCCGGTCCTCCTGCTGTGGTGAAAGGTCAAGTCCCATTAGGCATGGCAGAGAGCAGGGGAGTGAGTCAGATGCTCCTTCATATCTTAAAGTACAGGATAGTTTGTTTGCTTCTGGCAGAGGAGCAAAGGAAAGGTGGGGGGGTTTATAAAGCAGACCTGCTGCCTTGCCTTGCGTGTGCAAAGAACAGGTTTGCTTTAAGTCTTCCTATGTACATTTATCACTTTCATCACTAAAGGTGCCAAAATACTGCCAGCTTTAGTGTTAGAACCAAAGTCACAGGGGTTGATTTACTAAAGACAGATAGGCTGTTCACTTTGTAAGGGAATTTTCCCTTAGCTTTGTATATGTGTTGACAGTACCCAAAGAATACCCAATCACGTGCAAGGAAAATAAAAAAAACAGTATTTTTGCTTGCACATGATTGAATGATGCAGAACTTAACTTAATTTACTAAGCTAAGGGAAAATTACCTTTCAAAGTAAACAGTCTATTTGCCTTTAGTAAATCAACCTCCATTTCTTATCTGTCTTGAGAATCAATGTTTCTGTGCTATGCATCGCTGCACCGTGCAGGAGAGTTTAGGCAGTAGTGTCAGACTTAGCAGTCTCTTATGTGATAGCACCTGTTTGGAAGTGACTGGTCCTGGTCGGTACATTGATATTATTGCATCTTCACTTCTACCTCAAAGCACTATGTAGATTTGTAGGAGAGGTGCTAGATTTGTCAACATTTCTCTTCTATGAGGTGTCAAATCTTCTTGGAGGGGCTGCTCCCTCACAAAACAAGGGACCCCCAATCAGGGGGTTTCAATTAGAACCAAGTACAGAATGTGGACACCACTGCTGATAGTAGAGTCCGAAATGGTATCTTATTTATAAAGATCAATAGAATGGAACGGCCAACACCCCTTCATCTGGGCCTATGGGTTACATTTGTTACCTTTGTAACTTAATTCCTTTCAAATGTTTTGGACTCAGAGAAGGAATGGCACATAACAATAGTTAGCAGTTCGTGAACAATTGGAATTTTAGCTGAAGGATTCACGTTCTGCTACCTTCTCTGAGTCCAAAACATTTGAAAGGAACTAAATTACAAAAGTAAGACTTAAGCCCTGATGAAGGGGGATATGGTGGGCCCCCTGAAATGCATTGCCTGTTTCATCCTATTGAACTTCATAAATTAAATACCATATTGGACTCTACTATCAGCAGTGATGCCACTTTTTTGTTCTCAGTTTATTACGTGGCATGCAGTGTAAAGTGGAAATACACTAAGGCCGTAGCTCGATCTTGGATTGTCTTTTGTTTATGAACCATTAAACACTTAGCACATATGTGGTATTATCCAGAGCAAACTCTGATGCCCTGCTTTAAATGTGAATGCTGTTTAACAAAACATCTGATGAAATAATTTGAGTCACAGCATTTTAAGGTTTTATATTTACTTTATGATTACATAATCCCTATAATAATTTACAGTAGTTCAGCAGTCTCCAAACCTGCATACCTTGAGGAATAGTAGTCTGTATGTAGGTAAATGTACTATGTATTTCTACTGCATGCTTGTGTGCTGTTATTCATAGAGGTTTCTCCACTAGTTTCCTGATTTTTGTTTGTTTTTGCATGCCCTTCTGTAGAGATTTTTATATTTCTAAAGGACGTGTTTAGAGATTTACTAAGTCTTGGGTCCAGTCCTTGTTCTGGTTCTTAATGCAGTTTTCTTTTGTTTTTCAGCCATCCCACTGACTGCATATGGACCAGTGGCAGCAGCGGCAGCGGCTGTGGTGAGAGGTAACCAACCTAATAAAAAAACACACTTGGGGCATTTTCATTAGTTTACCATTACTTTGTAAGAACAAGGGCTGTTTTGGGTACCAGCGGAACTGTATATATAAATAAGAAACTTTGTGGAAGATACACACAGTTCACACTGCAATTACTGTATGTCTACAAATGGATTGGGGAATGTGTATGAAAGGGTCTTTGTACTGAGACAATGCAAATGTGATTTACTAACGTTTATGGGGGGAATGTATTTAGAGTCGTAGGAGGAGGGGGGAAGAGTGTATTTTTTTACCTTGTAAACAAGGCTCCACTCCAACTCGCACAGGGGGTTTCCTGGGAACAAGCAGCCCGGGGCCAATGGCCGAACTATATGGCGCAGCCAATCAGGAATCGGCAGTCAGCAGCTACATCAGTGCAGCAAGTCCAGCACCTAGCACTGGCTTTGGACACAGCCTTGGGGTAAGTGGATGTGATTCGATATGTAAATATACATGACTGGAAAAAACATGAAGGGGTATAAACAATGCTTTTAGATTGTCCAGGCTTTATAACTCCATGGATGTTGCAAGGTGGCAGGTTCATAGATTAGGTATACCTGTATATCAGCTAAATTTTACATGCATGTCAAGACTGGAATGCCTAATGCTTCCTTGCTGCTTTCAGATTTAGCTATCCAGGCATATGGCCAAATTATAGGGTCTAAATGTTCCTTAGAGAGTCCCTCTTTTATCCCACGAATACGCACACAACATTCTACTCATATATTATTGCCCATGGTACCTCTGCAACTATGATTCTGATCATTACATGATATATGTTAGATCCCAGAATAATTTGTACCATGTTTTACTGCCTATATAGCTTTTTATGTTGATATAACTCTGCAGGGTTGAGAGTTTTTATAGCATTTTTAATGAGAGTGTTTGTTCTTCAGGGACCTTTGATTGCCACGGCTTTCACTAATGGATATCACTGAATTTATGGGTCACAGTGAAGGTAAGAAGGAGCATGTAATCCATGTTTAAAAGAACATAGTATCCACAAAGACAAGTGCATCTAATACTGGTTTAACTGTGCATTTTCTTGTATATAATCAGCCATTTTAGACCATTGATGTGCGGTGAAGTCTGTGAAGCTGACAGCTTTTTCTTCCATATTGGCAGTTGAGGCTCTGCCTCACCTGCCTTCCCAGACTGCACGTCCCTGTTTAAGACTGAACTGAGGCTCATTACATACTAGGAAGGAATTCAGCTGCATCTATAAAAATATCTGCCCCACCCCTATAAATCATCTTAACATAATTTAATATTCCTTTTCAAGAATGTATGTATATGTATATAACACACTGTGCCTTATTTTCAAATCAAACAATGTGAATAGGGATTAGTCCCACTCTGCATTACTGTAGTATCAGAGCAATGGTGTAGACTGGTGTACAGACTCTCCAAGGTGGAAGATCTGCTTGTGAGGTGGCTTCAATATGCAGTGTTCTCCCTAGAATATTTTTCAATTGGTTGGGATGAAGAAGTAGCTGGGTGATCTATTTAAAACAAGAAGGGAACAGTGTAAAACTACAGATAAATCTAACTATGAATGATTTAGATATTGTCCCCTTTATCTTTTGTATGAGTGTGATTCTGACCACTCACATTGCACTGCATCAGAAGCTGTTAAAATTCAATGTGAAATCAGTCAATTGAAAGGGCAGAATCATCTGTCAGACTTCAGGTATCCTAAAGCTGGCCATACACTTTTTATTTTTTTCTCCTTCAGCCCCGCAGGACTGAATGACAAAAAACTCTCGATTCCCCCATCTAGCTCTAGAAAAATCAACATTTGTCACATGAGGATATCCCAGCGGGGACACACACTGGTTGAATTGTGGCCTGGTCAGCAGGACTTGGCCAAAATTTGACCATTGTATGGCCAGCTTAAGACATCTGACCTAAGTGAAGAGTCAGACCGAGACAAAAGAAGTAGGTATACATTTTACCAATAACGCCTAGCTCTCACAGAGTCATTAATTAGATTTTGGTGGACATTTCAAAAGGTCAGACCTCCAGCTGGACAGGGTATAGTTTGTCTCAACTATAGGTAAGGATGGGCAGACCAGTGCAGGTTTTGATGGATCTGGCATAGGTGTTTTCAGTGTTTGGATTTGGCATGTAAGAATGTGACTAATATGACTCCATGATTCCCTCCACAGGTTTTTGGAAGCTCTTTATGTCTGTGACTGTCCCTCTCCACTCAGATTATCAGATGGCCACACGCCACCTTGTGTTCATGCAGAGTAACTGGTGCCTCCTGCATTATTCTTCCTTTCACCCCAGAACATTTTATTTATTTCATGTTATTTTTTTCTTCTCTTTCTTTCCTTGTTCGTCATTTTGTTTTGTTTTTTCCTTTTCTCATCGTTAGTCTTGTGTTTCCATGATAGATGTCAGGAAAACATATTTCATAACTAGGTAATTTTTGTTCTGGTGGGTTGCTGGGAAATTCCGGTACAACATGCTGGAGGGAGGGAAGGGATTATATGGTCCAGCTGTCTGGGAATGTGTTTCATTTATTTTTAACTGAGAAAAAAAAACAAATATTTTTTATGTAAATTTCGGCTTTTATGACATGAAGTGGACAATGCACAAGAACAAGACAAATGTATATTTTGCTAAATGAAAAACTATTTGTAGAACAGAAATTATTTTAATTTTCTCAAAACTGGTTTGATTTTTTTTTTTTTTTCCTCTGTAAAATATGTAAATATTGCAGACTGATCGCTCTGCCACCTCCAGGTCTTTTCTGGCCCCGGCTCTTCCTTTGCCGACTTGGGTCCATATTTTAGCAATATTTTCCTAAAACCTGAATGGATTGACAGGTTTTTTTTATAAATTTTTTTGCTACAACTGAGTTCTGTCCACTGGAATAAACTGGTGCGTTGTCAGCGCAGGAGATCGCTGAGCGCCAGCTACATCCTTGGCACAAATTAACTCTTTGAGTGCCACCCTTCTTGATGTCACGGAGGAAGGTGTGTGTTTTTATGCAAACGCATATAACATAGGTTTTCTTTGGAAACCAGAAAAAAAAAAGATGACTGTGATGATAAGCATTGTCAATGCATTAGCCTTTTAGTTATCATATAATACATATGTGGGCTAATTTAACCAGGCAAAAAGTGATGTACAGTAACGCATGACAACCAGTCAACAATCATCTCTTATTGTTCTGACTATTCTAAACTGAAACAAAAAGATGGGATTTGATTGGTTAGTATGTGGCACTGCATTTTGCACATCATCATTGCTTTTACTCTGCCTTAAATGAGCCTAAGAGTCTAAAAGAGACTTTAATATTTATATATCCTGGCGACACTTGCAGTCAGGTATAATCCTTGTAGTGTCAAGGATATCCAAAAACTTCCTACAGTTAGGAAATAAGAACATTCCAAATCCCTGATGTGTATTCACTGTCTCCTCCAAGAGAAAATGTGTGATGGTACATAAAGAGTTAATTGTGAACAGGAGTGCATACAATGCTGTATTGCAAGTTCAAAGCAATAATGTTTGTTACTGCAACTGGAATTTTTTTTAAATAGCAAAAAAAAAGTGAAAAAGAAAATAAATGCTGAATTTTACCCATTGCGTTGTTGTTTTCATTTTAGATAAAACATACCTTGTACCTCAATTCCCTGTTCTAAATAAAGAAATAAAGCAAAAGCAATGTACATCATTACAATACACCTCGCTGATAACAACCTTCTTGATACACATATGGGTCTATAAAGTAGCATAGAATAACAGGTTTGGCTATGACCTATACTGACATAAGAACAAGTAGTGCATTCAGTAGGTCACTTTCTCACCCCACAAATTCTACGACAGTCACTGAGAGTTAAATCTCACATCCCAGGACTATAGCCAAGTCTCATGGAGAGCGCATCACTTTATTTATTATACATAAGTAAGGTGCCATTGCTACAATAAATAGAGATTGTAGTACAAGTTCCAGATAACAAAGCACAACCTAAAAAATAAGCAGAGAAAGGAAAAAAAAATAAACTTATTCTACAACTAGGAAGGGAATGAAAAGGAGAGTGAGGTAGGTGGGGATAGACAGAGAAAGAGAAAATGTATGTAAAAAAAAACCAAGTAGTATGAGCAGGAAGAAGGTAGGACCATCAGGAAAAGTTAAGACAAGTGAAGGACAGCCTGCCCCGCCAGCCCCAACCACCAGGCATGAAATCCCATTACAAATAGAAACAGACCACCAGCATTACTGGTCCCCATTTAGGATTGTTTTGTGCTCAGGAGCAGGGGCGTAGATAAGGGGGGGATAGGGGGGTTCAAACCCCCCCCCAGAGTGTCCTGGTGTACGGAGATCGGGTCTGTGTTTTTGATACTTGTGGACCGCCGACCGCGGTTCAGACAGAGGGACAGACCAGTGAACACACTGTAGCAGGGGGTGAGGCCGTTCAGGGAACTCCATTTCCCAGCAGGCACCGCGGTGAGGGAGCTGGAGGGATCCCATTTGTGTACTAGCTCAAGGCAGCGTGGGCAGTACAGAGACATCCTGCAGGAGTTGGCAGCCTGGAAGCAACAGCGATCGGGAGGACAATCTGAAAGACTGAAAAAGAGCTGCAGCAAGTCCAGGTAGGTACCGAGTGCAGTGGTGATTGGGGTGGAGGGGGGCACAACATTTTGTTCTAAACCCCCCCCCAGGGAAAAAAATTATCTACGGCCCTGCTGAGGAGTGAAAGTAAACTTGTTCTAGTAAAACCATGTACACCAGAACCTGTCCTTCATACTTTAAAGTGAGGCCCCCAGATCCTCCATATGCTTAATTTCATTAACCTTCTTTATCTACATCATAATAGAGGGTGAGATAGAACCCCTGGCTATGTTAATCAGATGAGGTAGAAAGGATCCTCTATAGGTGGTTTTCAGGTTAGAGTGTTAACGGAGCAAGTAAAAGGCTGGACCATCAGGCAGTGGTATGTCGGAGATGGTTTTTTTTTTTCAACATATACAAATACAAAAAACGTAAATGAGTCAAATACATAGTTCCCTGTAATGGTTAGTAAAAAAAACCTCTGTATTTAATGCATAAAAAAATATGTATAAATAAGCTTTTAAAAATGTGAAAATCATCACAAATACCTTTAGGTAAACAGTGCAGTAATAATTTAAATTGAGTGCATCCTATTTGTAAGCAGACATGTGACAAGTCCACAGATAGAAAGAAGACTATACTGCATTTTTAAAACCGCTAAACTAAAAGTTTGAGTTATGAGGTCTACTATCTGCACTGCAAAGGATTCTGAGTTTTCCTTCCAAATGACTATTTTCCATAATTTGAGGAACAATGCTTACAGGATCAGTCAGTCCAAACTTTTGAGGGACCATCCCTCATTTGTAACCAAATCCCTCTGCCCCTCTTTCCTCTTCAGTTGCTCCTCTTTTTGGTATGATGTACAGATATCTATGAAAAGGTTCTATTTCACTACCAAAGGTGTTATTTTGAGTTAAAACCTTTATCTTGTTTCTAAATTATCTTGTTTGCTATATCGGAAAGCCATTACAAAGGAAAGTAAGGGTTAAAAAAAATGTATTTGGGCATAAAAATTCTTAATGGTCGGCATAACTTTGTGGCATGGTAGGTGTGTACATCTCCTAAATACATTGTGCTTAAAGGTGTTCCTCTTCCTCATCTCAGATAGTTGGGAGATATGCATGTTGTAGGGATAGAAGCAGAACTCCAAGGTGGGCACAAAGCTGGAAACAGACAGGGAGATAATGCTGCAGTAAATAAAGTACATATAAGAAGTCAGCAGGTGACTGACCTTTACCCTTATATTATTACATTATATCTCAATTAAAAATAAATTGCTGTAATTATAACATATTAGGATCTTTAGCTTCCTCAATGTATTGGAGTAACAGTGTTTCTGGGATGGAGCTGCAACATGGTCGTGATTTGTGCTTAGTCGGTGCACCTGATTTGTGGCTCAGGTACCTGAAGAAAGCTTAAATATTATGGTTTAAGATAAGGGAGCAGAACATATGAGTGAGGAGGGGCCGGGTAGCTTAGTAATGCATTTGGGGCCCCTGCAATGTGTTCACTCCTGGTTGGTACAGCAAAGTAGCATTAATTTGCTTTTTTTTCTTACCATATTTTTATACTTCAGTTGGGCCTGTGCTGAGGCAGTATACAGCTGCCATTGCTGATTTCACCTTCTCAGAATACCAGTTCCCTGGCTGTTATGCTGACCCATTGGCTTCAATCGTTTCTGTGTCAGCCTTGGGACAAGTATGCAAATTAGGAGGTCCAATCCTGATCTTCATGCTTGTGTCATGTCAGCCTCTTAAAGCATTAAAGCAAGACAACTAGCATTTTGAGAAGGGGATCAGCAATGACAGCCTGCATAATTCTCTCGGAAAGGTTCACAGGTTTGCTTTAACAATGAGAAGTGCTGGACTATAACTCTAAGAAGCTTGTGCTCTTCTACATAGAAGATACATTCTCACATACATAGACTCTCTTAGCCCCCAGCCTGGCGTAGTTCAAATCCATAAAATTATTTATTGCCTTTGCCAATATACACTGAACAGTATACATTGTACAATGAATGTGTGTGTGTGTGTGTGTGTGTGTGTGTGTGTGTGTGTATATAAGAGAAATTAAAGGTCTATAATTTTTACCATAGGTGTATTTTAAATGATAGAGACAGAATATCAACCAAAAATCCAGAAAAAAAAACACATAATACAAATGTTATAAATTGAGTGAGTAAAATAAGTATTTGATCACCTAGCCAAACATGACTTAGTACTTAATGACTTAGTAGGACATTTCTTGTAGTTGGTTACCAAGTTTGCACACATCTCAGGAGGGATTTTGTTCCACTCTTCTTTACAGATCTTCTCTAAATCCTTAAGGTTTCTTGGCTGTCTTTTGGCAACTCGAAGTTTAAGCTCCCTCCATAAATTTGCTATAGGATTAAGGTCTGGAGACTGGCTAGGCCACTCCATGACCTTAATGTGCTTCTTCATAAGCCACTGCATTGTTGCCTTGGCGGTATGTTTTGGGTCATTGTCATGCTGAAAGACCCATCCATGACCCATCTTCAGTGTTCTGGTTGAGGGAAGGAGGTTCTCATCTAAGATTTCGCAATACATGGCCCAGTCCATTGGCCCCTCAATGCGGCAAAGTCGGCCTGTACCTTCAGCAGAGAAATAGCCCCAAAGCATAATGTTTCATCCTTACCCCATGCAGCAAAATCTTGCATGGAGCTTTATACCGAGGGGTTGTTTTTTATTCCTATCATTTGCGAATAATCGCTCCAACAGTTGTTTCCTCCTCACCAAGCTTCTTGCTGATGGTCTTGTAGCCCATTCCAGCCTTGTGTACAATCTTGTCCCTAACGTCCTTTGACAGCTCTTTGGTCTTGCCCATGGTAGTGAGGTTTGAGGTTTGAATGGAAGAAAGAGATTCTGTGGACAGGTGTCTTTTATATACATAACGAGTTGTCGTTAGGAGCACCTTCTTAAATTGACAGGACTCATCTGTGTACCACATAGCCAGTTTGTGGGAGCCAGAATTATTTTTGGTTTGGTAGGGGATCAAATACTTATTTTACTCACTGAACTGCAACTCCATTTATAACATTTGTATCATGTATTTTTACTGGATTTTTGGTTGATGTTCTGTCTCTATCATTTAAAATACACCTATGATAAAAATTATAGACCTTTCATTTCTTTGTAAGTGTACAAACGTACAAAATATGCAGGGGATCAAATAATTATTTTCCTCACTGTATATGACTGACCTCAGCAAGGAAAATGTTATCTATCTCCTGTTACCAACAAATATTGGACTTCTTGTAAAAGTAAAAAAACAAGTTCAAGGTAATACCTGACACCACTCAGCTGAGAAAATGTGCACTTGGCAGCAGTCTGTACTTAGAGCTTGATGTCCCTGGAGTTTGAAGGTCAGCCATTTACTATTTAAAAGGACAAGGTTGGACAGTGTTTGAGTCTCTGTCATCATGATGCTCAGAATCCTTGCTGTTCTCCTGGCAGGTAACGTTTACTTTACTTTGAAAATAAGACTAACACAATTTCCATTAGGAAGATATGTTGAGTAAAATGTTAATGTATAAGTTGAGTTTAATGGGCTTAATAAAACAACAAGTGTGGTATATGGTAATGTTTCGGCACACTGTCAATAAGTGCTTACCAGCTCACCTTTGGCAGAGATAACCTAACATTTACTATAGCCAGTTAATAGTCTTTATATTCTTGCTTTACATTTTTTTTACACTCTTCTTTGGAGGTTGCACTGCATGCTTATAAATAACTCAAGGAATATTTATACCTTGGTACTATTAGAGCTATTCAAAGCTTTGTCCCCTTAGGCAATTCAGCTTTTTTCACCTTTGTGTTGAAGCGTGTACATCAGCATTCCTTTATGTCCTCAGGCATGCTGTCCACCTAGAGGGGTATAGCCACTTGTCAGTAGACTTCGGTTCACATTGTGACTGTTTAGTCTCCCATTTTAAAGGCAACTTGTTTCATTCTTAAGTTGCCTTTCAGAGTTTGCTAGCTCATGGTTGAACATTTTAGCTGTTTCGTAGATTGACCCTTTTGTGGAACCCATGACTTATATTCCACCTGTCCTGACCTTTCTCTTATCTCTGAAATGTGTTTCCTCTCCTTACTGGTTTTAACACTCAGCTCTGTCTTTTCCTGGAGATGACCTCAAGCTATATTTATGTTTCTTTGTATCAACCCGAAGCACCATCTACACCTACCGTAGCATAGTTTTTTACCTTCTTCTACCTGTCAACTCTCTGATTAAGTAGCATTGTTCTGCCAGGACCTGGGTTTCTGGTCCAGCCTATATACATAGTTTTCCCCTGTGGGGCTAAGGCCACCCTGCATAGGCTCTGTAATCTGCTGCAGAAGTTCCTGAAAGCACTCAAGTGCCAGTGCACATGCAGAAAACATCTTCTAAAGGAGACTGCTGAAGGTGAAGAGAGGTACATCAGTAGTTATAGAGACTGAGCCTTGTGCCTGATTGATACCTCACAGCGTATGACTTCTATGAAATCTGACTTTTTAAAATAATCTAGTTGAAATGATTATCGGTTTAGTTTTGGATCTAGGGAAGAGAGCTAGAAACTGTGTGCTCATTTGGAAGTTTTCCATAATCTCTTGGCATGGGGACAGAAAGTGAGGAAAATCCCTCCAGAGTAGATACAAAGAGCGTCGAGAAGGTTTAGAAACGCTGTCAGTTTTTTTTTTATATGCCCCAAGAAATTTCCCTTCATTTTTTTTGTCCTCCTGACATCAGGGTGTCATCAGGGCAAGAAATGGGGACACAGCAATAAAAATTTGACAGATGTTCTGAGAAAACCAGCAAAACACGTAGTTTAAACAGAATGCCTATAGGTGTGTTTGTCCTAACATTATTACCGGGAAAATTTATGGCTTATGCAGAGGAAAAATGGTGCAATAGAACATACCACTTTTAAAAAATTAATTTAAAAAATGCATTCTGCGGGGAAGTCAGTTTCTATCCCTAGCAATATCAACACATAATCAGCAGCTGCTAAAGTGGTATTGTCCATTAGATGGCATTACACTACCATATTCAGCGCTGTGTGTTATAAAAGAACTATTGGGACCATGGGCATGTGTGTAATAAAAGAACTATTGGGACCACGGGCAGCTAAGTAAAAACTGAAGGTTACAGGTTATAGTGAATGAATATATATATATATATATATATACCTTATACGGCATTAAAACCGAGATGTACAAATCCCAGGAGCTCCGTATGCTCCTTACAAATGACAGCTGCCTCCTCCTCCTAACTTTTGAATTTTTCTCAAGTCTAGTCCTGGAGCTGGAAAAGTATCTGTACTTGTACCGAGCACGGTACTTTGGTATCTGAACATCCCTAATACCCTAAGAT